TTTGACACAGTACTTTATGTTTTTGACACAGTGACTCAAAAATTAAACCTTGACGAGTAAAAATCAGTGAACAGAATATATGATAGACGGAGCAATGCAGGCAAGTTATTTAAGAGTTTCTGGCAAAAACTGCATTTTTCCCGTTCCGACTCCCTGTTGATTTCTTTAGCGAAGGGTTAGTCTAATGGGAAATATACACAGCAACTTAGTTATGAGTTACCCTTTCACCATTTTTTGTCATCTCTAATGTATGACTAAGACAGATCTTTCTTTAACCTTTTAAAACCATTCCGATAAAAGCCACGGAAGAGAAGAATGAATCGTTATTGCATAATAATTGTGATTTTTCTGTGTTGTTTATCAGTTTGAGTTCATCTTGTGGGTCACGTCTCACTCACCATTGTCATCGTGTGAGTATTCACATATATTGAGTTTCTAATCAATGATCAGGATTTAAGCTGTTTATTTGCCTTGTAGCCATTTATAGCTTCTGATGGACTGTTATCTTCCTTGGATGTGCACAAAAATTGTTATTGATTTTGGCCCAGAATTTTCACTATTTCGCTTCATTTGTTTTGCTTCTCACGACATTTTGATTTCATTGGTTCTTTGTCTCTGCAATTGATGGTTTCGTGTGTTAGTGTTTGAGTTTGTGTTCGAAGACAATTTTTAACCTCAACGGTCACAAGGCTCAGATTTTGAGCCCCACAGAAAGAAGAGACTGGAGTGAATATGAAAGTAAATTAGACTCGTAGATCTATGGTGCGTCAGTATATCTAAGAAATTCAAGAGCTGCACTATGGAAATAAATTATCAGTTCTCCCCAGCAGTCTGGCCAGTTCTACACAGCTCTAGCAAAGCCACCAATCATTCCGTTAATTTCCGAAATTCTAACGAGTAAAGCAAATAAATATGAGGGTGGTGTGAAGATTGGGGACAAGTTGACTGAGTGACTCCGTAAATTTAGAGCTGAGTCTACAGAGATTTTCTGGAGGTAAAGTTGTTTAATCATGACTTGGTTTTTATGCAATGCAGAACTACCTCTTTCGGAGGCTATCTTCCGGCTATCTTCAGTGCAACGCAATTTGTGATCCGGAGTGGAGTCAAAACATATCAAATTAAGCAATTGACCTCTCAAACTTTCTCCAATCCCCTAGGCAAAAAATACTTTGAAAACAATTTCAAGAAAACATAATTAATCATGGCTGTCACTAATTTTTCAAGTAGGCGGAGAAATCAGAAAAGTAGACGGGAGACAAACATTCACTAGTGTGACTGTCAATGAGACAGGGTAGGATAGGAAGATAAAGGTTTTGGGAAACAACACAAAATTTTTATTTT